GTAAGAATATGGTATGGAAAATATCCAACTTTACGAAAATTTTATTGTCTGGTGAAGGTACTAGAAGAAAAATAGGAAGATGATGAACTTTTTGTATTATTTGCATTTAAATAGATCCATATATCATCATTAGGGAATGACAAAACTATAGAAGGTGGTGATGTTAGGTCACATTGGAAAAATTCTTCGATATCCCCATTGCACACGACATAGAAAGTACATTGTGCAATTTATATTCACAATATGTTGCCAAGCACGGTAGAAATAATGAATTGTAGGTCCATATATTGTTACTAGGGAATAAAAAACTATAGAAGGCGATGATGTTAGTTCATTATTTCTACCGTGCTTGGCAGCATATTGTGAATATAAATTGCACAATGTACTTTCTATGTCAGTGTGCAAAGAGGATATCGAAGATTTTTTTCCCAATTCTCTCTTATATACAATTGTAGTTCAGCTTGCATTTTCCCACTTTTTTTAGCGAAAATGCCAGGTTTAGTATAGCTAAAAACTCCAGTGGAGGCTCCTCCGTTGCGAATCTCGGTACTCAATGAGCCACACACCCATATCCAAACCCGTTAACCCAAAATCCAGCTTCTCTGCTCCTCCCCTTCCGCCTTTCCCTTCTCCGTTCACTTCACGCGCTAAGCCTTCTCCCGATCGGGGTTCCGACAAGAAGAAATCACCTGCGGAAAAGAGCTTTCTTGACGAATCCTCCCTCAAAAACCCGGATCTCAACCTCTTTTTACTCAAGTAGCCCGAGATACGATTGCATCAGGCGAGGGCCCGAACAAGGCCTTTGACTATGCGTTCAGGGAAGCGAAGTGTTTTGAAAGGTATGCGGTTGAGGGAGAACCGAGCTTGGATTTGGCGATGAGTTTACATGTTGTGGCGGCGATTGATTATAGTTTGGAGAGGCTTGAGTAGGCAGTGTCTGTTTTGGAACATGCAATTAAAGCGTCGGAGGTGTCGAGTGGTGGAAAATAAAGTTTTAAAGGTTTGAGATTGTGGATGGTACATAAAAAAAAAATTTGGGTATAATTTGTAAAATAATAAAAAGTTTGGATACTAAAATTGCAATGATTACTTTTTAATTTTAACATTTTTACTATTTTTAACGGAAATGTTAGGTTTTTAGTGTTGGCGATTCTGTGGATAATATGACTAATTTGTAATGTGTTGTAAA